ATTCAGACATCCACAAATGAAAAGAGAAAACAATGTTCGATTTAAAGCTTCGAATGGTGCATGAACAAATATATTGAAAAAGATCGATGGATTATTGTTAATCATATTCGAACCAAATAGGAGAAATGAACTGATTAATAACGACAGATTTAATTTATCATTGATACTAAAACACAATGTATGATCAGTTTTATATTCTTTGTTGGTATGATGAGTTTTACCTGAAATGAAAAAGTAAGAAAATTCTTTGTTGTTCAAACACCGAAAATTATTTACTTACCAATACCCGCTTTGCCATAGATAATTTGAATTTGTGATGGTACAATGTGATGTTCTTGGAATAGACTCATTAAATGGTGATAACTTCGATTAGAATCTTTATATCTGGCTGGTATGTGAAATTCTCATAGACCTTTTCGACCAGTTGTTAATTCAGATGAAAAATAAAACACTCGTCCATGTATATCTTGTTGACGTGTCAATAAATCTTGTTCATTTAAAAGTAATTCTCATAGACGATGATGCATTTTATCAATATCCATAATAACAAAAGTAAGAGAAGGAAATGTTCGTATACGAGAAAAAAATAACTGAATATCTTCTTCTGTCGTATTTGAATACCGAAGAACTTGATAGGAAGATGGTAATTGATTTTGAAAGATATTAAAAAGAATACAACAAGTATTCAAATCGAAATCATGTGAAAAAGATATTTGACTTGAATTCGATATATGACGATTGATACTGACTAAAAATTGTTCATTTTCATCATGCATTTGTCCCTGTTGAAATATTTCTCCATCATGTTCAAATAATTCTTGAAGAAATTCTGCTAATTTTTTTAAACACATCAGTATTTGATCTGACTTCGATACGATGTGTTTGATAAAGTTGAACAAGATGATCAGTCATTAAATTGACTTGTAAAATTCTTAATGAACGAAGATAATGTTCAAGACAATAAATAGTTAATTTTTTGTTCTTCTTCATTTTTATTATCTAAATCTTTAAATTCAAATAATTTTTTCAGCAAACGATTTCGAATAGGATTCTGTGCATTTGATATTCGAAATAGAATAATTAAAATCATAATTTTACGATTAGAAAATAATTTTAATAATGAACATTCATGACGATATTTCTTCAAATTTTGTATCCATATATCATACGTAGTTTTCAAAGTATTGTATATTAATTCTAAACTTTGAATTCGAGTCTGAATAGCATTTTCTATTCGAGCGTTTTGATAACTTCGTAAATCGGTTAGCATAGAATCAGCTTGAATTGAAAAGAATTTTAAAAATACATTTCATCATTGATCAAAGAATATTCTTTTACTTTGCTGCAGATGTATTTCATAATGTTCATCTCGTAATTGATAATAAGGATGACCACTTAATTCTAATTGAGTAAAAATATGATAGATATTTTCAATTGTTTGTTGCGCCCATTGATTAAAGCCTTTTTATAGACTAAATTTTGTTGAGCATCAACATTACAAAATGTTGTTAATTGCCATTTATGATCATCAATATCCGACATTTATAATTGAAATGGAATTTTTTTCCCTTCAATCCCATCGTTCTCTTCACCTTGTTGGCTCTGATCATTTTCATCTCTTACTTTTTTCATTCCAACTTGAATACGATCAATTGAATAACCAATTTCAAAATTCGATTGTTGTGTTGTTAAACGTCGTAAATGAATATCAACGGTTCCACTTTTAAATAAATGCTCCATAGTAATCAAAGCATTGTCTAATACTGTCGTTTCTTCTGCTGATAACCACATCGTTACAAATTGTATTTATCATTAGTCACTAGAAAATACAATAATTTTATTGATATTTTCAAATTTCGTGAATTAGAGTTGATGGAAGGGAGAAAATCGGATTCCGGCGGCATCCAGCGACTTCTTTTGAATTATAGCGGTTGCTTTCTGAGTTGATATATTATGAATGGTGGCGTAAGCTGTCCGCCGCCGCATAAATGCTTCAGACACCTAGGGTCAGTTTCCCGGGTTCTTCTAATGTATTGTCTGTTCAAAAAAAAATTAGTGAACGTGGTCGTTTTTTTGAATAACTTCAGAACGAAAGGAGCTAACGATCTGTGGTTTTCACCATTTAAGAGAGAAGATCCAAGGCCATTAAAATATATCAAAATTTCGTGGGTTAGTAGTTGATCAATCAGATGATTTCTTAGTAGAGATTTTCCAAAATGGTATTCTGAAGCTATTTTCTCTCGGATTACTCGATAGACAATATTTTTGTTTTTCGATCTATCTCTTTCAGGTCCACCGTACAACATATTGTACGGTTTTTTCAAGTTTCGTAATCTTTGAATAACTCGCGAACGCAAAAAGATATCAAGATGCGGTCTCCTCTCTGACATAGAAGAGACTTCGTTGAATACATCTATAGGAGAATTATAGCTCGAATGAGATCAGTTAGTATGCCTGGTAGTTTTGGGGGGCACTGCCTCTAGAAGGAGGGCAGATAATACCCATTTACGAAACCCAATATATTTCGATTTTACGCGTTGAAATCAAGTTAGGAATGACTCCTAATGATATGCCAAAGGTTGATTTTGCGATGCTCTCAATCGAATTTTCACTCACACCCGTACCCCCTACGGCGATGATCAAATTACTTCTTCAACATCCCCGTAGGAGGTACGGGCATGGGTCGAAAATGACTTCAGTGATATTTTTTTACAGTTTTGATGAAACTGTCCACAACATACACACTGTCCATATTAAATATAAAGTCTCAGAGAGATTTTATCCATTGGTTGAGCTATAGGCCTGAAAGGGCTATATACCATGAAATAAATAACAAGTTGATAAGCCAATAGATTTAATTCGATACCAAACAAAGTCGGACCATTTTTATTATCAATAGTAATTAGTAATTGACCACTGCATTGACTTTCGAATTGGCCATGAAGAACATTTTTATGGATAGGAACATTTTGTTTTTGAAATGATGTTTTATACCGATCATTTGCTCCGTGACTGCGATATTCAACAGTGATCTCACATGCATGATTTTCACTGGCCAATGACCATTGAACTTGTTGACGATGGATTATAGAAATATTTTGTTCATGAATTTTTTTATCTTCTACTGTTAACCTATTGTTTGGCTGAAAACGTTTTAATTCTGTAAGAAATTTCATTGTATTCTCTTGAATATTTAATGTTCCTGGATTAAGAATTTGAAATGGAATTAAACAATTGAATAGTTGGCAAAGAATAATTATTCTCATTTCAATCAAAGTCATTTTAGGATCGTCACGAGTTCTTAATGAACCAATTAATAGTTGATTCGAACGATTTACATTATGCATCTTTAACCAATCGATAATATGTTGAAAAATATCAATGAATCGATCAAACCAATCAAACCATTTGTTTATTTGTTGAATAAATTGAGCAAAAAAACTCTTCATTGGATCTGATGTTGTTGACGATGAGCTGTACGAAATATGCTATTCGTATTGACCGACGGAACAAAACAACGAAGGATCGAATCAGTCAACAAGCCACGATATAATGAGCATTTACCTAAAAATAAACGAAAAAAATTCAACAATAGTCGGAAAAGAATTTCGAGGCAAAGGTGTCTATTATGCACTTGTCCCTACGGTGAATTTAGATTGAAATGCTCAACATGGTCGTAACTGGGAAGGATTTGGCTTGGATCCATATCTTTCAGGTGAAAATGCATTTTTCTATACTCAAGGTGTTCAAGATCAAGGTGTTGTTGCAATAGTAAAACATTATATATGCAATGAGCAGGACACGCATGGCAGTGGTGTCATGAAAGTTGCTAATGATGCCGTAGTTTACTCAACCAGTCTTGATGATGAAACTATGCATGAAATTTATCTTTGGTCATTTGCATCAAGTGTTGTTGCTGGAGCAGGTTCTGTCATGTGTTCAGCCAATAAAATTAATGATACACGAGCTTGTCAAAATAATAAAAGACAAAATGGTTTGTTGAAGGAGAATTAGGATATATGGGCAATATATTGACGGATTGGCTGGGATCAAAATCAACAGTCGATTCAGTTTTATCAGGATTAGATATTGATATGCCAGTGTGATCGTGTCACTCTTCGATTTTTCCAACCTTTTATTTTTAAAACACTTAAACTACTCCTCATTAACAGAAAACAGCCGTATATATATACGAACGAAAGAGAGACGGAAAAAAGAATGATTTTCTCTGAAGCATGAAAGGAAAATAGACTAGCGTGCTTGAACAATGATAGGTAAAGAAAAGGAT